CTGCCTGCCCTCCACAGTTAGAGGATCCCCTCTCCTGCCTCTGGAGGATGGTGCTGGTTTAGCATTCTATGTCCTCCATGGTGCACAGTCACTCCTTTGCCAGACTGAGGGAAACCTACCCAGGCCATTTTTAGGCCCAGAAGTCAGGTATTTATTTTTAAAAAATACTCAAGTGATACAAAAGATGATATATTATCAAATTTTATGTTAAAAAAACTCATTAACCATTTCTAACGGCTTATGTTGTAATTTTATGTAATTTTTGCTGGCTCAGCTTTTCATACATAGGCAGGTGCTGAGAAAATAACCTTATCACAGCATCAATGTGGCTCTGTTCCTCATGGTTCACACGCAGCCCACACCTGCAGTGATGGCAGCTGGCTGGTCTGTGTCTTGTTGAGCAAGGTGGACACTGGCTCGCTCATCACAGAAATATCAACTTGCTGTTTACGGTATAAGTTTTTGCCATCAATGACAGCATCCAGACCATCACTTCTGCGCTGCCACTGTTCATGGAGCATGCCTTAAGGAATATCACTTTAAGTACAAGATAGAAATCAATGAATGAAAACTCCTAGCTAATGATCATAAAAAAAACTGACTATGCTCCTAAAGGTAGATCAATAAAATACAGTAAGACTTTATTATTTTAGTTATTATTTTTATTGTATGTGTATGAGTGTATTGCCTTCATGTGTGTAAGTGAACTGGTGTCATGCAATGCCTGTGGAGTTCAGAAGAGGGTTGTTGGATCCCTGGAACTGGAGTTACAGACAGTTGTTAGTCACCATGTGGGTGCTGGGAATTGAACCTGGGTCCTCTGTAAGAGCAGCCAGTGTTCTTAACTGTTGAGCCATCTCTTCCAGCCCCAAAACCCAGCAAGATTTTTGGGTTTTTTGTTTTCTTAATTTTTCCCTTTTTTAAGTGAATTTTTGTGAATTTCATACACAATATTTTGATCATATTTATATACTCTGCCCTATCTGTACCCCCACTACTCATACATACATACATATATATTTTATGTATGTGTGTATGTATGTATGTATATGTACATGATATTGGTATTGCTTACCCACTTCCCCATGTCCATATTGGGATTTGTCTGGCTTGAGTTTTCCTTCAGGCCATCACCATCTTTGACTCTTACAATCCCTCTTTCACAATGATTTCTGAGCCTTGGGGGGCAGAAGTTTGGTCTAGATGTCCTACTCGGGGATAAGCACTCTGCAGTCTCTTATTCTCAGCATGTTGGCTAGTTGTGATTTCTCTGTTAATCACCACCTGTGTATAAAGAAGCTTTTCTGCTAAATGTTGAAAGATGCATTAACCAATGCAATTCTGGGAAAGCTCCCAGATCTGGGGAGTTCACAAGGGTCCTAACAGAGCAGAGATGGTGGGTGCCTTCTTGGTTTGTTGAGATAGTATCTTATATACTTGAACTCCTGATCTTCCTGCCTCCACTTCTCAAGGCTTGAATTAAAGCTGTGTACCTCTACACCCTGACAGTAGGCCCTTTATCACAGTGTCACCACCTAGCATTTCACATAAGCTACTATGTTTCACACAAATTTGGCAATGTATTCACTAAGTTGGTAACACAGAATGGAGCTAGTTCCTGTAAGCCTTTCCAACAGCCATTGTAAACAGCTGTTTCATTCAAAAGGTTAATAACATATTCCATATGTTTGTCTAAAAATTTCCTTAGTGTGCTGGAGAGATGGCTCAGTCAGTAAAGTGTTTGCCACACAAGCATGAGGTTATGAATTTGATCTTTTGGAAACTATGTAAAAAAGCTGGGCATGGTTACAAAGCATCTGCTTGTAGACTCAGGGCTGGGATCCTTGGGAATTGCTGGGTAGTCAGCCTAGCTGAATGGGTGAGCTCCAGGTTCAGTGAGAGACCTGTCTCAAAAAACAAAAACAAGACAGAGTAAGACTAAGGAAGACATACTCAGTGTCACCTTTGTCCTATACACACAAACACAGACATACACAGACAATATATCCAGACATACACACATACACAAAGACATACACAGACAATATACACAGACATACACACATACACACAGACATACACAGACAATATACACAGGCATATACACATACACACAGACACACAGAGACACAGAGACAGACAGACACACATACACACAAAGTCTTCTTAGGCTCATACTTTTTCATATCCTCATCTTTACCCACAGAGGACGATAATGCAGGAGGTGGAGCTGCCTTTCATCTGAGGGCGGGATGCTGAGCACACAGGGTTCTAGGAAGGACCAGCTTGTGCTTGTTTACTTTTTGTTTTGCCTGCAGACAACAGACAGGGACTGGCATGACCTTTCCTGTGGTGATACACCTGAGGAGCATCCAGGGTCTTGGCATGAGAATTCTGACATCCTTTGGAGTTTCAAAAAAGAAACAGAAAAGATTCCTTCATAGCCATATGTCGCACTCAAACTCAGGCCTTCCTTTCATTTTTCTTTTCGAAGGGTCCTTGAGCATAGGCATAGCTACCCAGATACTTATTTTAAGAGAATTCCATTCCATTCACCACTCTCATTTCTCCTTTGCCACGAGCTCTGCAGAGAAATGACATGCACAGGATCTAAGCAGTCCTAGGTGGATGAAGCTGACCTAGGTCTTGCCTTTACCTGCCTTCTCACCCCCATTCCCTCCCTCAACCTTCTTACTAAGTAGGGAGTGATAGATAAAAAGTAGCCATATGACAAATAGGGTTGATCAGGAGAAAGCAGAGTTTATTAGCAAAGGAACACATGGGACAGATTCCCTTCCTGGCAGGGAAAATGCCTGCCCCTTGTTGTGAGCTGGGGTCATTTTAAGGGGGAGGCTTCTGCTTCCTGCAGAAGGTGGAAAATGTATTTTTTTAAAAGTTGGGTGGGGGGGAAGTAGGAGAGCAGGACTGTTAAAACCTGTTCTCTTTAGAGATCAAAGCTGAAGCCTGCTGTGTTGGCCAAACAGTGGAGAAAAGTCTGCTTCTCTTGACTTCAAAGACCAAGGTGCTTATCAGCTAGGTTCCCTTTTCTCAGGAGCATGAGAAGTCCTTGGGATCCTGTTGGTGAGGGGGCAGGGCTATCTGAACCTTAACAATTTGTTTTTTAATCTGTATCAACAGTCATTACAGCTTTCCTAATCTTAAACTGAAATTGGAGAATGACCAGGAGGTAGATCCTGTTGGTGAGGGGGCAGGGCTATCTGAACCTTAACAGTTTGTTTTTTAATCTGTATCAACAGTCATTACAGCTTTCCTGATCTTAAACTCTAATTGGAGAAAGGCCAGGACTTGGGCTGAAGCTCTAGACAAAAGGCTCTGTTGTACTAGCCGAGACAAGTAAGGCTACAGAGGACTCAAACCCTAGGTGAAGGCACAGGTGTCAAGCCCTGTGACCCTCTTCCTACCTATGGGATAGACAGGCCAATGAAGTTAGCATTGTCAGCAAAAGTGACCTCCAAGTCCCTGAAAAGTAACACAGCCACCAGTCCATCAGTACCACCTAGACTTGTCTAGTAACAGAGGCCTTGAGTCCCAGTCCTTGGGAAGTGGAGGCTGAGAGTCAGGAGTCCAAGGCCATCATCAGCTACATGGCCAAGTCCAGGCCAGCCTGGGATACAGGAGGTCCCGTCTCAAACAAAACCAAACAAACCAAACTCCAAACCCCATATAGCAAAGGTGTAAGAGCCATCCAGACTCATGAGGTTAGCTGAGAATGGAAAGCTGCATGAATTCCACTCAGCTGATGGAGAACAAGTGACAATGAAGGGTTTTTTTTGTTTGTTTTTTGAAACTTTTGCCATATTGGGTAAAATGGAAACTTTCAAACCCATGGCTGCCAGAAATGCTGGTACTTCAGGAGCTGATCTGAGTCTCAGTCTTTCTGGAAAAGTTCCCCAATGCCCTTGGGGTGACACACTTTCCTAGGAAAACCAGTTTCCATGATAAAATTGATCTTGGTCCTTAGTCTTTGTGTATTACACAACCATGATGTGTTTATCTCAACAAAACTGTTTATGACATGTTCTACAGTGTCTCACTTCTTGTAGTGAACTTTATGATTGTGAGATCTTTCATGTTGTGTAGCACAAAGTTACATGTTCAGTGCTGAATGCTATGCCATTGCATTAATACAAAATAATGTATTTCCATTCACTGTTAATGAGCACCCAAGTTTCTGGATTGGCTGTTGAAAATGTTTTTTCTGTATATGCCCTTTGCTGATATATTATGTATTTTAAGAGAAATATCATTCTGAATATAATTACTACAGTGTGATTTGATGATGTCTAACATTAGTGGTTATGCCACAGAGTCTGTCAAAAAGTGACAAATATTGAATCTTCCATCAGTTGTAGCATATCACCCTGAAAACTTTATGTGCAATCTTTTTTAGCCAGTATAGTAGATATTTAGTGGTCTGTGTAGGGAGTTTTTCTTGCTCTCAATTTCCTTTTTAGTTGAGGCTGAGTACACATGAATACCTTGTGTGGCTTTACTGGCAGTGTCCACTCCACAGTGGACTCTACTGCACCTTGTGTCTCTGTTATACAGGTCACAGGACATTTCTCTACATACACTGTGTGTATATTTCTCTATTATTATCTTTGTACCCATTCCTTTATTATGCTCTATCATGACATGAAAGTTCTAGTTATTATTATATTGTTCTATTATTATAAATAATAATGTGATGCAAGGTCTCATACTGATCTGTTTCTGTGAGGCCGTGTACCAAGAAGCAGAATTGTTGGTCCCTGGATGGGTCAGGGCTCTGTCTGTAGCTGTGTGTGTTCTCTTTATCTGTTTATATTTCCACAGTCCCTCACTACTTCTGACAAACATCAGAGCCATGCTGAAGTGGTTAACAAAACTTTTTGACTCGACTTGGAAAACAACTCATTTTGGAGCCACTCAGGTCTGTGTGTGCAGCCTGTGACTCTGACGTGGCTGATTATTCAACTCATTAGCTTAGAGCCACCCACTTGTTCCTCTAGAAGTTCTCTCTAGGCAGTTGCTCAGTTTCAGAATCCTCCTGGGCTCAGCCAACCACAAAGATGAGTGCCACAGAGTGCATGCTGAAGACAGAACACGCCTCCCCAGATGGCTTGCTTGAGGCAGAAAAGGGTACGTGTTTAAATGCAGTTCAAATCAAACTAAAAGGACTGAGAAGTTTCACCAAAGAGCCGAGCCGGGGAGGAGCTGAGTTTGTGCATGCAAGCCTGCTCCAGTGGGTCTCTGTAAGATGCTGGGGGGCCTCAGGGACAGGTAGGGGTGGAACTGTGCAGGTGTCAGGTTACTTACTCTGTTGAAATATATAATACTTAAATATTTCTAGAGGAAGAAAAATGCAGAGTGGATTACAAGAGCTTGAAGCAGTTTCAGGTCTTTGCGCTCAGCTTGCTGGTCCACTCTTTCCCCAGGCGTGTGGTAATCTGCGCTCTGGTAACTTATATGAAGCCTTTACATGTTCCTCATCTTCCTGAGTGAAGGCCAGGTAGATATGTGCATGTGAACGAACAGCAGCTGCCTGGGATGCGGGACTTGTGGTCTGCCGGTCCACTGTAATTAAAAAGAAACGTAGGACTGTGAGATGGGGAACTCACCGACCCAGAAACAAATCCTTTGGCGGTTTTGGCTCGGCTCTTCGGTGAAACTTCTCAGTCCTTTTAGTTTGATTTCGGGGATTTGCTTGTTTTCAGAAAGAAAATTGTGCCTCTGTGCTTTGAATAATCGCTGTATTTCATTCTTTCATCTTTTACATTGCTGCTTCCCAGTTCCCTTACCTTAATTTTTTTTGTTTAGGGAAACAATATTGCATTTCCAGAAAACAAGATTAATACCAAAAAACAAACAAACAAACAAACCAAGATTGATACCAAAGTTCATGAAGGATGCTAATGTTTATCAGCTAAGCCAAGTATTCAAGTATTCTCATAACTGAAGTTATTATTGGTTGCTATTATTATTGATTCTTTGAGACAGAGTTTCATAACGAATCCCAGGCTGATCTGGATTCCCTCTCCCGCTTCAGGCTCAGAATGCTGGCACCCCACCAAGCTTGACTTTTGAAAACCACAATAAATACATAAATAATTATTTTTTTAATGAAGAATGAGCTAGGCACATGTCAGAACATCTCTGTGAATTATCACTAGAATCTTGCTGTTAACAACATGTAAGAGAATCCTGGTGTTGAGTCCTGTTGCTGGAAGTCTCTCCAAGAAGACGTTTCGGGTTCCTGTTCCTTAGCAGACCCCAGGCTCTGGCTTTGTTTCTCTTTGTGTTTTGATTGACACTAATCAGTTACAGGCACTTTGTTTCATTACAGTGAGCACATTCACAGTCTGCTCAGCTATTTTCAGGTTTACTTTACCCTGCTGTGAACTATATTCATTTACTACTTCTTCGTATACCAGAGTTTACTCTTCTCAGTGTACCTGGTTTTCAGGGTCCGAGAGTCGGGAATAATTCCCACAGACATGAAGGAAAAATGCATAAAAAATTTTATTCAGAAATTTAAAGTATAAAGTAACCAAATTAGCAGCTAGCCAGGCATGGACTCCACAAGCCAAAGATGGCGTCCGGCCCTGAACAATAGCAGGCCAGGTCTTTTATGGGGAATTCCACAGAAACCCCAGCACACCAAGCATCCTTTAAAATGATTGGACGGCCCCCTATCCTGAGTACAGGGGAAATTCTTATTGGTAGGGGCTGTCTTCAGGGCATTGGAATGTGCTGGCTGTAATCTTTAGAGCCAGAGGATCCTGTTTATTTCTTATAAGGTCTTAACACATTTCAGCTTGCCTAACATGCCTGGGCTTGCCTAACCCATAGCCCTTGCGTATGTTCTAGTCAGCTCACAAAATGGGGAAGCTAATCAAAATGGAGTCAACGCAGTTTGAGGTCTGACTCTTCACTGGTGACAACCTCTTTTTGCCTCCTTCCCTTCTACTCTCCCAAGCCTCTGGTAAGAGATTTCTATACCTCAGTGTTTACTGAAGCACCATTCACAATGGCCAACATATGGACTCTACCTACATGCCATGCCCATCAGTGGATGAGTGAGGGAAAACTGTAATTAATATAAATGCATATTTATATATAATTAATATGTATTCAAATATAGAATGGCAATAAGAAAGGATGAAGCAGTGTCTTTTGTAATAAACATGGGTGGACCAGGATTGTATGTTAAGTAAAACTAGCTGGGCACAGAGAAACCTAGCATAGCCTAGTCATGAAGGGCCTAGGGAGAAGAAGAGTATAAATTATTTGCTTGATGTTGCAAATAATTGTTAAGCACAATGTAAAAGCTAGAAATCATACATAAGTCTATAAATTTCAAATTCAAAGGTTTTTAAAAAGATCTTTGTTAGATTTTTGGAAAATAAAAGGAAAGATAGAGGAGTAGGAGACAAGAAACCAGAGCCAGACCTGCAACAGGCAAGGAATAGATCTTCCTTTATTCAGAGAATATACAGTGAGAGGTGGAGGCTGTCTGGGGGAAACAAGCTTCTACAACTAGACAAAGAAATCGGGGGGGGTTATACTAAAGTTGTGGAACACAGCTGCACTTAGTGGGGAGTTTAGTTAGTGCCTGGGCTTGGTGTCCTTGGAGTGATTGAGGGTCTCCTTGTCAAGATTATTTCCATAGAAACTGGCAGGAGTGTCATCTGTGGCCTTAGAGGAGACAGGTGGGCTCCACAAACATCTTCTCTCAGGCTTGGGAGTGACCAAATGATAAGGGTTGAGCAGAGCCAGCCCTCTAATCTATAGCCCTTAGGTCAGTGGGGGAACTTTGTACTTTTACAATTTAGATCCCTTTGGCCACTCTGATGGTTTTATGCCTTTATGGCCTCCTCTAATGAAGCTCATGGTTTTCCTGAGGTTCACATATTCTATCAATCCTGATATTTGCTTTAATGTATCCCCTGGGTGTGGGGCTAATAAGGGAATGGAAAACTGAGAAGCTGTGTTGCTTGTGCACTGGAGCCGGGCGGAGTACATGAGCATTCAGCACACTGATTTCTCTATTTTGGGCTTGGCTTGCTGTTTTCCAGAATTAAAATTTTGTTGTTAAATGTCAGAACACAGTCAAGAAAGGAATAAAGGGAGAGGAGGGACAGAGAGGGAAGAAAAAAGAGGGACTTTCAGGAGATTTATGAACCCCACATACGGATACTTGCTAGAGAGAGTTAAAGGAAGATTTGTATATCAGCTTAATAAAGCATTTTTTGAAACCATGAAAATCATGATAACTGAGCTTCCAAAGGCATTTTTGTTTTGTTATAAAACTAGAAAGATAAAAGATACGAAATTTGCACAGATCCCAAGCTGAAAGGACATTGTATAGTGCTTATACCTTCCAATCCCACACCGTCTTCCTTGTAGTTTAAACAGAGTTGCCCTGATGTTTTAGAGATGCAGGAAAGTGAAAAAATGTGCTGGTGAAAGTCAGCAGGAACTTTTAAAAGCGTACAATTTACATTCTGTAAAATTCACACATTTGGTGTACATTTCTTGAGTTTTGAAAACATATAATCATGAAGTTACCACCACAGTCAGACTACAGACCCACACCCTGCCACAATGCCCCAGTGCCCCTCTTCAGACACTCCCTTCCTCTGTCGCTAGCTGTGCCCACTCCTGGTCTTTTTTTTCTACCCTGACACTTGGTTTTTCCAGAATGTCATATAAATGGATCCTGCAGCTGGTAACAGTAATGCATGTGATAATCCACAGCGCAGAGTGTATTAATAATTTGGAAAATACAGCACAGCTGGACTTAGATGTGAGAGCCTGTATTCCAAAACACTATGGAGGAAGAGTAGTGCTCTAATTCAGAAGTTTGTGAGCATCTCACCATTGCAAAAGCTAAGGATAGCTGGCAGGAAACTTGTGAGTGGGTGGAGGAAGCAAGCCTGTGGCAGTTGGGTTGATAGGTATAAAATAGTCTTGTGGTCAAGAGTCTCTAAATAGGCTGCAAAGTGGACCATTTTTGTACACACCAGTTTTTTATTATTTTTATTTTATGTGTATGCATGTATTGCCTGCATATGGGTAAGGGCACCTGTGTGTGCAATGCCCACAGAGGACAGAAGAGGCTGTCAGATCCCCTGGAACTAGAGTTACAGATAGTTGTTAGCTGCCATATGGGTGCTGGGTTTCGAACCCAGGTCTTCTACAGTGTTCTTAACCGCTGAGCCATCTCTCTAGCCCCCATACATACATTTTTGAGGTTACTGAAGCTTGCAGGTAAGTCCTGGTTTAGGGACTTTTGGAGGACAGCAACCTGAGGAACATGTGCAAGTGTGTGGTCCAAGTTTTCCTTCCTAACTTTCCCCCCAGTGCTGAGCAGTGTTGGTTTATCTTGCCACAAGCACCAGGATATTTGAATTGTTGCAAAATTATTATTTTTAAAATAATAATCCATAGAGCTACTGTACTGTGTACAGGTAGGAGAGCCAGGGCATAGGGCAAATGTCTTCTTATTTTAACAAATGACTGGAATGTTTTTCACCTGTTTTCTCCACACTAACATTGGTAATGTTGAGCATATTTAATGCACATGGTCACCATTCACGTGTCTTCTTTGGTCAGTGTACATTCAAGTCTTTGGCCTGTTTTTAATCCTTTTTTAAATAATTGAGTTTTCAGAGTTCTCTATAGTCTAGACACAATTTATTTTTAGATCCATGTCTTGCAACAAAGGAGACTATTTTTTAAATTCTCTTTTTAAGAATCAGAAAAGAGTGTTTAAATTATGTGAAAGTCCAAATTTTCAATTTTCTGTTATATAAACAATAGTTCTGGTATTACTTCTAAGGCATTTTTTTCCTGAGACAAGTTCATACAGATTTTCTTTTTCTCTTTTCTCCAAAGAGCTTTGTAATTAGAGGGATTGTGTTTGGGTCCTCTTTTAGAGGCATAATGAAATGTGAGTTTTTAGTCTATTCAAATTGTTTCAGCACCATATGTTAAAAGCTATGTGGGTGATACAGGCCACGATAAAGAAGGTGGTGTGGAACAGGTTGTAGGATGCACAGGGACACCAGGGTCAGCATCTTCTGTGAGAGGATGATGTTCAGCAAGTTCTCCACCCAAAATATGTCACCACACATGCTTGGCCTCCTTTCTCAAGTGTTTTTTTTTCCTTCTTCTGTTCCTTTAATTTATGCAACTTCTCTTTTGCCCAAACCATGCTTATTCTCCTTGTTCTTAGTATGGAATTAGGCAGTACCATTTTGCCAAATTTGGCTTCCCTTACCAGACTGCTATGGCTGCCCTAGTTCTCTTGCCTTTTAAGTAATTGTTAAATTACTTTTTAAACAGAATCCTAGCAGTCTGATTATTAGAACTATATTCTATCTCTAAACCCATTTGGGACATGGTCCTTCAATTTCAACTTTGTGGAAAGTTTCTGTTATGATGGATTCATTATAGTTTTCACATGACTGTGGTGAATTTATTGAAGGACTCCTATGTTTTACTTTCTTATGTTAATACATTGGATTACATTTATTTATTTACTTAATTGTTTTGTTTTGCTTTTTTCTGAGAGAGAGAGAGACTCATATGCAGTCCAGGCTGACTTCAAATTCCCTATGCGGCCAAGGCTGGCCTTGAACTCCTGATCCTTCTGCTCCTATCTCCCTAGTACTAGAATTACATGAGTTTACCACCATAGCTGTCTCACTGATTTTTTTTCTGTTTCACTCAGTCCTCCTTAGCAGGACTCTTACGGGTCAAATCTAGATGATTATTGTTTTGGTTCTTTTTCATCATGACTTCCACTCTTTTTGTTTCCTGCTCTTCCATTAGCCCTTATTTTGACAACTGAAACATTGCCTGGCTAACATTCTATTTTCACTATCTCTGGTCTTATTTGAGCCATGGATATCATTTTTGGAGCAGGACTGTTTGTGGGAGGGGTTTGCAATAGGAGAATGTAGGCCAAAGAGAGAACTGATTTTGTAGCAAAGTGATTTTTTTTCTCCCTAAAAGATTATTTTAAAAAAATATTCTTACATTTATGTGTATGTGTGTGTGTGCCCACATGATTTATGTGCACCACATGTTTGCAGCTGCCCTTGGAAGCTAGAAGGCATTGGGTTCCTTGGAACTAGAGTTACAGGCAGTTGTAAGCCACCTGATATGGATGTTGGGAGGCAAACCTGGGTCTTCTGCAAAAGTCATAAGCACTTGTAATAGCTGAGCCATCTCTCTGCCCCTCCAAAAGATGCTTGAACTTGACATTCTGGTATATCTATTTTGCAGGTAAAAAACTCCAAGGAAAATGTTTAACACTTGCTTCTCCTGTGACATCCACCAAGCTTTTTTGCTGCTGTCTGCTGACCACTGTCCTCACTGCAGCTGTAGTTGGGCTTTCTGTTGCTTTGTTAGGTAAGGTACTTATTCTCTGAATTGTGCAGTGTTATGTCCACAGTTATACTGTCAGTAATACTTACTGAGGGCCTTAAGTGTCAGACACTGTGGTAAGTCTTGAGATAAAAATACATCTCAAACTCCTCTTCCTGGGAACTTACAGTAGAGCAGGAAGACGCAGGCAGTATAAACAAGTGAAGGAGTAAAGCAGGTTTCAGGATGCACAGGGAGGCAGATCAGCCTCCTTGGGAAGATGAGGTTTCAGCATCCTCTTGAAGGAGATGCAGAAGCCACATGTCTACCTTGGAAACTATTCAAGACAGAGAGCAAGGTGAGCCAATGAATCTCAAGGAGGTTGTTGCAGCTGGGGGAGTGAGGGCAGAGAAGAAATAGTGAGTCGAGCGCTCTCTTATTCCCTGAAGTTTCAGTGATGTTCACTTGTGGACTGAAAATTTTAAATGGAAAATTCATGAAATGGTTAATTTAAAGGTCTTTAGTTGCACACTGTTCAGAGAAGGGTGATAAAAATCTTGTACCATCCTCTTCATCCTCCCCTGGTATCTGAATTATCCCTTAGTGCGACTTTTCCACACTGTATACACTACCTGCCCAGTATTCACCAGCGCTGTTTCAGTTCTGAGATAGACTGTCATGATAGGAGACCCTGCAGTGCTTGTGCAGTGCTTGTTTAGTAAACAGTGTGCACTGTTTACAAAACAGTGACCCACAGCACAAAAAGCAATGTTGTTATAACACACATTTCTTCAAAGCCAATAGTATGAGTGAGCACCTCAGAGAGAATGGGACACAGGCACTGGCTGGAAGGCCTCTGGATGAGGGACCATCGTGTTGAGAAGGGGACTCTGAGTGATGAGTTAGGAAAACTACACTTCAAGTGCCTAGTTCATAGCTGAGCTCAGGATGGCAGGCAGAAAAAAAGGAGACATGGAAATGTCTATATAATTCATTGTATTGTTTACATTCTAGTGAGAAAACCAGAACAGGCCATCATGAACCATACCTACTATTCTACCTGCCCAAGAAAGTGGATTGGATATGGAAATAAATGCTATTATTTTTCTGAAGACACAAGAAATTGGACACATTGCCAGAACTCCTGCAGGGCATTGGGAGCTGAACTCACTCAGTTTGAAAGCTTGGAAGAACTGGTAAGAAATGTTGGTGGAACCCTTTTTCTACTGAATATTTAGTGCCCTAAGGGGAGGAGCTGAAAGCTGAAGCAGGAGGAAGGATCCCAGCCCTAGCAGAACCAGGGACATGGGGTGCATATTAATGTGTGCAATTTGTTGATGGCGTCACTTCTGCCTGGAGCCCTGAGGCAGACGGATTCTCTCATGTAATGCTCACAGGCAGCCTGCAAGATTAGACAAACTGTTCCCATTCGAAGATGTGGTAACGATGTAAGTTTTCATGTTTGTTGGCATGTTTTGCATACTGCAGGTGGGTAATAGAGTAATAATGTGGAAGGATGGGCATAATCAGGGACTTTCCTAGTCGCAGTGGGATATATGGTCATTAAAATAAAGTACTTTATTATAAACATCAAATGACTCCACTGGGCACTGAGGACTAGTCTGGCTCCAAGTCTGTGCTCCTCGGCGACACCTGCCGCCATCCTGACAGGAGGCTGTGGGGCAGTGAGACCCAAGGTCATCTGAAACAGACATACATGTATTTGCTTTCTGTGTTTTATGACAGGATTTCCTGAGGAGATTCATGGGCCCTTCTGACCACTGGATCGGCCTTCAAAGAGAATCGTCACAACCTGCTTGGAAGTGGACAGACAATACTGAGTACAGCAACACGTATGTTTTCAGATGGCCTTTCCCGTTACCGTGTTCTTGTGTCATTATATGCGTGACTTGTGATTCTCAGAGGCAAAAGGGAATAGGCTGTGAAGCTTACTGTATTAGAAAGAAAGAAATATTAAGCCCTTGGTCTAGCAGTGTAGCTCATAGGCAGAGTGTGCTGGCATGCATGAACTAATCCAAGGCAAATGCCCCATCCCCACAAATTTAAAGCCTTTTTATGCTCCCACATTTATTAGCCATTATTTTGGAAACTTTTTAAGTTACTAACTTCACTTGAAATCTTTAGCAAGATGATAGCATCTGGAGGGGTCTTCCCCACCCCTTCACTGACTTAAAACTTTTCCTTGCTGATAAATCCCATGTGGAATGTAGACAGCTGCACATGTGCAGTGAGGGTTCTGAAATCCCAGGAAGCCATGCAGAACTGTAGGCTTCAGACTTTCAAGTCCACTCTGCACTGATGTGCCTGCTCACTAAAGCAGAGACTCCAGGGAGCAGTGAGGACCTCTCCTAACGTCTCATCATCAAAGAGACCCAGGAACAGTTCTTGGACTGTGAATGTAGCCATTTCTTTGGAAAAGAAAAATATAGAGATCCAATCACTTCCATCACTGAAGCTAAGCTCTTTTAGCAATTTACTAGGAAGGTTTTTCTTCACTTTCATACATGTATAGAATAGTTCCAGATAAGACTGAAAATCACCCTCAGTGAGGTCACCATGGCAGCAGTTCATTTAGCATGGCATCAAGCAGCAGTTACATGCCAGTGCATAACAGGGTCTGGAGTGGATGAATGGTAAAGGAGTGGTATTCAAATAACAACTTCAGTATCTAAAAAAAAAAGTAAGTGTAAAAATAGGGCATATAATTCCTGATAGATTTTGCCTCTCATTCATACTTAAAAAATATTCAGTGGGGACAGGAGAGATTCCAGGGTAGGAGTTAATGCATATGCAGCCTATGCAGACTTATTCTTTTTGGTTTTGTTATAGGGTTTCCATCCGAGGAGTGGGAGAGCACGCCTACCTGAATGTAAACGGAATCAGCAGTGCCAGGCAGCATATAGATAGGAAATGGATTTGTAGCAAGCCCATCAGCTACAGCCTTCAGTGCCAAATACCTTGAACTTCTTTTTAGAATGTGACAGCGATGCATTGTAATTTGCTATCTACAGTTGTGATTAGCAAACTGTTATCAAAATTATCAAATTGTGGGACTGGAGAGATGGCCCAGTGGTTGGGAGTGCTGGCTGCTCTTTCAGACAAACTTGGTTCAGTTCCTGTGACTCCAGTTCCTGGGAAATCTGACGCCCTCTTCTGACCTCCCAGGGCATTGCACAACACGGATGCACTTACACACATGCAGGCATAACACACGTGCCTGTACATACACATAAAATACACATAAAAATAAGAAATAGAATAAAATAAAAATTATCAAATTGTTGCCAAATGCATCATACATGTATTGACAGCAAAGATGAAAACTAGTTTAGAGGATTATGCACACAGGACTTAGGAGAACATGGATGATTCTAAATTACATAGGGGTTTTCAGATGAGTTTGTTCTCATATTTTAAACCTAAAGTCTAATCATATTGGTATATGTGAACTCCACTTCTGGGACATTGAACATTTGCACACAAATGTAAATGTAAATTTTTTGCTGTAAATACATAGGATCATAGAGATCTAAAACATTAGGAACATTGATAAAAATACTTCAGTTCTCAATGTTCATGTTTTCAATTACTGTCTTAAGTAGATATTATACTAAAAAACAAATGCCTTTTTAATTTTATCATTTTATTAGATTTATTTCATATTAAATGATAGTTGATTACTAAAGTTCTTAAAGCATTTAATACCTAATATTGCAATAGATTACTTGCTACTGGATGTTAGAGATAAAATATTTATAATTATAGCGTGAACTACACTGTACTGATAGTCCCCAAAATGATGAAATGGCACATTAAAATGCATCTCTTCTGCTAGCTTCATCCTTCCTACGTTATATGTGCAGTGTCTTCTTCCTCCTCCCCCCTTCCTCTCTATTTTTCTTCTCCTTTTTTCTTTTATTGGCACTATAAATTGAAGGCATGACCTTACAGACTGTGAATCTAGTCGATATCCTCAGCACTTTCTATAAATTTCATTTTTTGACACGGTCATGCTGTAAAACCCAGGCTGCTCTTGAAGCTGTGACCTTCCTACTTCAACATCCAGATTGGTGGGATTACAGGTGTGGGTAACCACATATGACATGTTATTCCTCGTTATTCAAGCACATGTGTATTTTTGTAATAGATCATATCTATTTCAATGATATATTATTTATTATTTCAATGATATATTATTTCAATGATATTTATTACATGAATACAAGTGTATTTTGTTAAGGAAAATTACTTTCTTGGTGTTTTTTTCCACCTAATTCATTTATCCTTAATAGTGCTTTTGTTTACAATCCACTTTATTTCAGGCGTCCTAATAGTGAGGTAGGACACATCCCCAGGGACTAGCACAACATGTCAAATGCAGGAATGTTTAGAGCACATCTGTGGAATGAATCATACTCTCATGGCTGACTGTAAGACTGGTTAGCTTCAATTAAGTTCCCTACCCAAAAAAGCTAATTTTGAAGAAGGATTCAGAAAAATAAATATCTTATTAGACTGTGTATGGTTGACTCACAAAAGAAATGTGATAGTTTTAACTGTGACCCTAGCTGACTCAATACTCTTGTATCAGTAGATCTGAAATCACACATGTAGTGTGGATTCCGTCACTTGCCATCTCAGACCACGGTAAATGATGTAGCCCCTTGGGTACAGTATCTTCATCTGAAACAAAATGAGTCTAAAAATGCCAGTTTCTAAGATTCAGACAAGATGGTCCATGCAAATGTCTTGGCAGTCTGTGTATCTGACTCATAGCAAATGCACAGTAGGTTTTCTTCCATTGCTGTAGGGAGAAATAATTGTAAAAAGAACAGCAATGTCTACACTAGCACAGGAACTTCTCAGTAATTCAGCTGCCACCCACAGAAAGTCAGTGAGCTATTTAACTTTTATTTATTTATTCATTCATTCATTTATTATGAATATGAGTGTTATGTCTGCATGTATATAAGTGCACCTCTGTCGTGCAATGTCCTCAGAGGCCAGAAGAGGGTGTCAGATCCCCAGGAACTGGAACTACAGATGATTCTTAGCCACCATGTGGGTGCTGGGATTCAAATCCCAGTCCTCTGAAAGAACAGCCAGTGTTCTTAATTGCTGAGCCATCTCTCCAGTCCAGGGTGAGCTGTTTAAACAAGTTTCTTTTTTTAATATTTTTATTTATTATTTTTATTTTATCTGAGTGTATTGCCTGCCTGTGTATAAGCTCACCTGTGTCATGCAATGCCTGCAGAAGTCAGAAGTGGGCATCAGATCCCCTGGAAGTGGAGTTACTGATGGTTGTTAGTGGCCACATAGGTGCTGGAGAAATTGTACTATATTAGATTGTTTGGAAATTAAAACTATTACTAAAAGTTGCAATTCTAACTTAATTTAACATTATTTTGTTCTTCCTTTTCTTTTTGTGGTGCTGGGGATTGAACCAGGGACTTAGAGAAGCCAGGCAAACACTGTATTGTTCAGCTGCATTCCCCACACTGCAAACACTAAGAGGAGTGATCACCATAAGATTTTTTTAAATGAAATTTATTGTACATTAAGTGGTATAAAAATGTAGAGAAGGGGCTGGAGAGATGGCTCAGCAGTTAAGACAACTGACTGCTCTTGCAGAGGACTCGGGTTTGATTCCCAGCAAGCACATGGTGGCTAGGAACAGTCTTTAACTACAGTTCCAGGGGAACCCGAAGCCCTCTTCTGACCTCCGTGGCGTTGCACAACATGGGTGCACTCATACATGCAGGCAAATACTCATACACATAAAATAAAAATAATAAATAAAA